TTGCCGTTCCTGGTGGTCCAAGGCGGCGAACAGCGAGTGGTGCGTGACGTGACGCACGGTAATCCACGTGATCATGGGTGCGCCGGTCCACTTCTGTCCCGGGCGGCATGGGCATAGCGGACGGGTGCGATCCAACGCCTGATTGCGGGACTTCTCGTCACGCACAGGACCAAAGCCCGATCCGCGATTCAGGTAGTAGCCCAACACGTCCCTGGCACTTCTCGATGACGAAGGGTCTGCGCGACAACTTGAAGTCTCCGTGCGGTGGGGAGCAATCCGAAGGCTCGCCAGATGCGGCTCTGACGTGTTGTGGCTCAGACCACCCACTGCTGAGCTGGGCTCATGGCCCGGTGCTCAATGCGGTCGCGTCCCGCGGGGCGCGGTCTCCAGCGTCAGCGTAATCCACACGCTCCACGTGGTCATCGGTAATCCGCTCGCGGCCGTCCGCTGCTGCGGTTCGTCCGACAGTCCGTCCAGCCTCCGTTCCATGAAGCAGGGACGCACTTCCCCACCCGGCCTCATCGGACACTCCAGTCGGCGCCCACCGTGTATTGCTGCGGCCTGCGGCACCGGCCAGAATCATTCTGGCCCGCAGCGCCAACGCTTGCGCCGTTTTTCGGACGCGAACCCACCGTACCAGGGCTTCCCGCTCTCATCCAAATGAACGGCGGCATTGGTCGTCCGATGCCATGGTCCCATCCCTCCTCTGATTGCTACCCCGATGATACCTCACGTGAATACTTATACAACTGACTTCATTTCACTACACTAAGTACCACTGGAGCTTTCGCGCCATTTCCGGCTTTTCAATTGCCAGCGGCGTGAGCAAGCCGAGTATATCCCCGGTATCAATTCTGTCTGCCGGCATTCCAGTTGAGTCGCTGGATCTCTATAGTGTGTTCGGTGGCTTCTTCGAGGGTAGGAGCGGTCACTGGCTTTACCCTGGGGTCAATTCCCTGCTTTACTGCCCTGGCGTTCTACGGGGCCCTGTCCCGGGCTTCCGAGAGAGAACCCTGGGGAACCCGCCCAGGCCGATGTCGCAGGGTTTGCCGTAGATCCGCAACCGCTGGGTCCAGGACCGGCTGATGCGGCCACTGGCGGTGGTCTCAACCGAGTAAGGGCTTACCCCATAACCCGCCTGAAAAACGCCAGCGCATTCCCACCTAGAATCTTCAAAATACCTTCGTCCGAGTGCCCCCGGCTGATCAGTCCCCGGATAATATTCACCCCGTCGGCTGGCGACTCCAGCCCGTCCAGGTAGGGCGCCGGCAGTTCGTCGTAGGAGCGGTTCAGGACGAAGTGGTGGAAGTCAACGTGGTCGCCCACATTGGTGTCGGTGCCGATGGCCACGTGGTCCACTCCCACTAGGTTCACCATGTAATCGTAATGGTCCAGCACGCACTCAATATCCTGCTTGGGGTCGTCGCTCAAAGAATTTGGCACCGCGGTAATGGCGATGAGTCCGCCCTTCCGCGCGCAGGCAACAAGCTCCTCGTCCCGGCGTGTCCGCGTAGTAGGCCGCAGCGTGTACGAGGCGTTGTGGCTGAAGGTTATGGGTGCCTCGGAAAACTCGATAGCATCCATCGCCGTGGGGTCAGACGCATGGGAAACGTCAATGCACATACCCAGGGAGTTCATTCGCTTGACCACTTCAACGCCGAACTCGCTCAGTCCGCCGGCATTCCGCTCATTTTGCCCGTCGCCTATATAGTTCTTGCGGTTGTAGGTGAGACCCGCCAGCCGAACCCCTGCGCTGTACAAAATGTCCAACCTGTTGATGTCGTTGCCGATGGCTAGGTGCTCCAGTGTCGGCAGAAAACCGATCTTGCCCTGCTGCTTGGCCGCCTCAATCTCGTTGGCGTTCGTGACCTTGACTACGCCTTCCTTCCGGTCCACGTCCGACAGCATTAGACCCACCTCGGTCAGGATGTCGTCAAACTCGGCGAAGGACATGTCTGGATTGTTGACCAGGCACCGGAACATGTTGGCCGTGGTCACCGCCGTCCACCCACCCTGCCGCACCGCTTCGTAGCCCCAGCCGTAAATGTTGGTGCGCAGGTACTCGGTAAGGCGGCTGACGTCTTCGGGCAAAATCATTGGATGTTGGTGAACGTCCACCATGGTAGCTTCTTCCGCCAATCGTAGGTAGCGGGCTTCCTGGCCGGCGTCCAATGGCACTCGGCTGGAAGGCACCCGGTCGATCTCCTTTGCGAGGGGTATGTTGGGAGTAGTCATGATGGAACTCCTTTTCAGATGGTGCTGAGACCTGTCGGATTGCAGTGTTAATACCATAACGGTCGGTGGTCGGCAAGGATTCCGCAAGGATGAGGGTACTGACACCAACTCCTTCCCAACCCGTGTAACCCCTCTCTACCATAAATATTGTGCGACCCTGCCCTGCCCGAACCAGCCAGGTTTCTGTGAACCCTGAGCGTCGGCCAGGATCCACTGCTGCCACCACTGCTTCAGTTAAAAATGGGGGGAAATGAGCGGAAATGGAGGGAAAAACAAAAAAATTTGTCCCCGTACCCATAATGGCGGAACCGTTGTGTGCCCTGGAACGGCGAAATGACTTTCCGTGCTCAGGATGCCAACCCTTCCTTCAGACAGATGCGCAGAGGTGAGGGCTCGCCTTGCCCCTGTAACAGCTAGGGTATAAGATAGGCGGAAAATTTCCCGGTTCTATCCAGGAGGAATTGATGACCACCCCGGCTATCAAGCCCATCGACATTCATATCCATCCCTTTACCCAGGAAACCTGCCTCGGGCACGGGCCATCCTACACCGAAGCCCACTATGACTTCTTTGGCCGCAGCCCCGAGGCGCCACACCACGGCAAGCAGTTCATAACCATCGACGAGACCTACGAGACCTTCCAGGAGTCCGGCATAGACAAGGCGGTCATCGTTAACATGGTCTCCTACAACCAGTGGGGCCGCGCCCTCCCCAACGACTACCTGGCCCTATACGCCGAGAAGTACCCTGACCTGTTCATTCCCTTCGCTGGCGTGGACCCCCACATGGGTCCCCTGGCCCTTCGCGAGATTGAGCGCGCGGCCAAGGAACTGGGCTGCAAAGGCTTGAAGTTCCACCCCGCCTACCAGGAGTTCTGCCCTAACGACAAAGAATTGATGTGGGACATCTACGCCAAGTGCGTGGAACTGGACATCGCCATCCTGGTGCATACCGGCACCACCCGCATGACCCGCTGTACCATCAACGGGTGCCGCCCCGTGATGCTGGACGATGTGGCCACCGCCTTCCCCGACCTTCGCATCATCATGACCCACTTCGGCTGGCCCTGGACGGAGGAGGCACTGGCCGTCTGCTGGCGCCACGAGAACGTCTACCTGGACCTGTCCGGCTGGCTGCCTCGCTACATCTACGCTACCCAGCCCATCGTCTTCCAGTACATGAACACGGTGCTGCAGGACAAGCTGGTCTTCGGCAGCGACTACCCCGCCATCAACCCCAAAGTGTGGCTGGACGACTACCAGAAGATCGTGGACAACGGTTTCGACTGGGGTGGCGCCCACCGCACCATCAGGCCCGAAGTGTACGAAAAGTTTGTCCGCACCAATGCAATCAAAGCCCTGAAATTGGAAGGCTAAAATAAATTACTAACCAGGATCTGCCCATTACGAATGTATGTCGCCAGAGCGGTCGAATCGAGCGTTGCGGGCCCGTCAGCCTTTTGAAAGCCAAACTTCCGCGAACCAATCAAAAGCTCGTAATTCGTAATTCCTGGTTCGTAATTAACAAGGAGGTCTCCCCTTGCTAGAGAAAGACCTGCACGACGTTCCCTTTTACTACCAGTCCATCGACTTTGAAGAGTTGGTACGCGAATACCCGCCGGCTCCCGACTTCTTCCGCGGCGTCTTCAAGCTGAGCCTCGAGGAAATCCGCGCCCTGCAGGAAAAGCGCCTGAGGGAAGCGGTGGCCCGGGCCTACAAAGTGCCTTTCTATCGCAGCAAGTGGGATGCTGCCGGCGTAGAGCCTGGCGATATCAAGACCATTGAAGACATCAAGAAGGCTCCCATGTATACGGTGGAGGACATCCGCCAGAGTGTGGACGCATATCCGCCCTTCGGGGACTACGTGGGTCGCGATGTCCTGGCCGGCGAGATTCCCTGGCGCATCCATTCCAGCGGCGGCACCGCCGGTGAGCCACGCCCCACCTTCTACACTCCCTGGGACCGGGAGGTCGGCAACATCCTGCGGGCCCGTTCCTACTACTGGCACGGGTTCAAGCCCGGCGACGTGGTGATGAATACCCTCCTCTACTCCACCCACAACGCCGCCTACTCGGCCCACGAATCCTTGTGGCAGTGGCTGGGCTGCATTCCCGTCACCACCAGCGCCGGTGTGGTAACCCGTACCACCCGCGCCTTGGAAATTGCCCAGAAGTGGCAGGTCAACGCCCTGGTCGGCTTCCCCGAATACCTGCTCCACATGTCCCAGGTGGCCAAGGACATGGGCCTGGAGGTGGGGAAAGACCTGAAGCTGAAACTGGTGGAGTGCTTCGGCAAGTCGGACCTGGTGCGGGAGGCCTGGGGCGTCCCTGCCTATGACACCTACGGCATGCACGAGGTGCAGGCCATCTCCTCCGAGTGCCCCTACGGCGGCGGCCACCACATCTGGGAAGACGCCTTTATCGTTGAGATTGTCGACCCGGAGACCTACGAACCCGTGGAACCCGGCGAAGTGGGTACGATGATCGTCACCGCTCTCTACAAGGAGAACTACCCCATCGTTCGGTACGACATCAAGGACGTTACCCGCCTGTGGCCCCAGGGCCAGTGCGAGTGTGGCAGCTGGATGCAGAAGATTGACCCCATCCACGGCCGCTCCGACTTCATGGTCAAGCTGAGGGGCGTAAACGTTTGGCCGGAGGGCGTCGGGACCATTGTGGCTACCAAGAGCGGGCTCACCGGCGAGTACTACTGTATCGTGGAACGCCTGGTCAATCGGGAAGAGATGACTGTGCAGGTGGAGCACACTTCCGACGCCACTGACCTGGACTTCATCCAGCAGGACCTGGAGCGCACCTTCCGCGACCGTCTGAACGTGGGCATCAAGGTTGAAATGGTAGAGCCAGACAGCCTCGCCCCGCTGACCGGCGCCGGCGTACTGCCCAAGGCCCGCCGTCTGGACGACCGCCGGAAACTCACTCCTCAGTAAGAATCGGCTCTGAACATCGGTTCACGAGAATGGCCCCTCTTGATAGATTCAGAGGGGCCATTGAAACTCTTTCCCGCAATCCTGTTCCTGGTGAACGAGCTACCAGTTAACCTGGCCCGCAGTGTCAATGTCCCGGTCCAGGTTGCAGGCTGCGCTGATCAGGGCTAGGTGGGTAAAGGCTTGCGGGAAGTTGCCCAGACCCTCACCGCTGTGACCCGTTTCCTCGGCATAAAGTCCCAGGTGGTTGGCGTAGCTCAGCATCTTTTCGAAGATTAGCCGGGCTTGGTCCAGCGCCTTGGGGTCGTAGCGGCCGGCCCGACTCATGGCTTCCACCAGCCAGAAGGTGCAGATGTTGAAGGACCCTTCATAACCCATCAATCCGTCGGGCGACATTTCAATGTTGTAGCGGTAAACCAGGCTGTTGGAAACCAGGCCCCCTTGTTCCGGCGACCGGTTCGTGGCTTCTATAGTCTTCAGCATGCGCGGGTCAGATGGGGCCACAAAGAACACCAGGGGCATTAGCAGGTTCGAAGCGTCCAGGCAATCGCTGTCATAGGATTGAACAAAGGCCTGGCGCTCCTCGCTCCAGCCGTGCTCCATGATTTCCTCGTAGATGGCGTCCCGCGTGGCTTCCCATCGGGGCCGGTCTGCCGGAAAGGCGCGTGCATCAGCCAGGCGGATGGCCCGATCCATGGCGACCCAGCACATTAGCTTGGAATACACGAAGTGTTTTCGCCCGCCTCGGACCTCCCAGATGCCCTCGTCCTCGCGGTTCCAGTTGTCCACCACCCAGTCTGTAAGCCGGCGCAAGTGGTTCCAGAAATCAAATGAGATGGGCTCGGCGTGCCTGTTGTAGATATAGACCGAGTCCATCAACTCGCCGTAGATATCCAGTTGCAACTGGTTGTGGGCCCCGTTGCCGATACGTACCGGAGTCGAACCCTTGTAACCGTCCAGGTGCCAGAGGCTTTCCTCGGTAAGTTCGTGACGCCCGTCTATCCCGTACATGACCTGCAGGGAACCGTCCGGATTAAGTTCTTTGGCCCGGGCCTCGATGAACTTCATGAAATTGCTGGCTTCCTCGGTAAACCCGATGCGCAGCAGGGCGTAGAGAGTAAATGCCGCATCCCGGATCCAGGTATACCGATAATCCCAGTTGCGGACACCGCCCACGTCCTCGGGCAGGCTGCAGGTGGGAGCAGCTACTATGGCTCCAGTCGGATCGTAGGTAAGAAGTTTCAGCACCAGCGCGGACCGGTGTACCATTTCCCGCCAGCGTCCCCGGTAGGTGCACTGGGACAGCCAGCTTCGCCAGTATTCCACCGTATCGTTGAATAGGACTTCGCTCTCGGCCTCGTCGAAGGGATGGAGAGCTTCCAGGTTATTGCTGGTCTCGTCGAGGGCGAAGGTGGCGGTCTGCCCCTCCTGCAGGGTGAACTCGGACACTAGCCCGTCACCGGAACGTTCCAGCGGCAAGGTGCAGGATAACCTGATAGTGATGCCCTCGGAGATCATGTCCGCGCCTTTGCCATTAACGTGGAGTTCATGTCTGTTGCGGGCGAAGTTGAATGCAGGAAAGCACTCCATCCGGAAGGTCATGGTTCCCCGCACCACGTTGACCCGGCGGATCAGTTCGTTGTGGTTGTGCTGTGAGTGATGCTCGCCTACCGGCATGAAGTCAATGACCTCTCCGACCCCTTCCGATGAGAGGAAACGGGTTACCAGCACGTTGGTTTCCGGCCAGTACATCTGCTTGGTGGTCAGGTCCTCTTGATAAAAAGCTGGGGCAATCTTGAAGTACCCGCCTTTATTCTCGTCCAGGATGGCGGCGAAAATGCTGGGCGAGTCAAAGTTGGGGGAACAAAACCAGTCGATGGAGCCGTTTGTTCCTACAAGCGCCACAGTATGCATGTTGCCGATGATTCCGTAGTCCTCTATGGGCAGGTATGGCATGGCTCACCTCCTGGTTCAGATCGTTCCTCAAGTCAGGGGTTTGAACTCTGTTATCCGGTACCTGACTCAAGGTCAACCCAAGCTTGAATGAGGGTTTTCAAACTTTTCACCGGTGCCGCTGCATCTAGAATCAGGGCAGCACTGCACAGGCCCGCCCTGGCTGCTCCATGGCTTCAATGCTTTGCAGGACTTCTTCGGCCTCTTCCATCTGGCAGATGCGGGTCACGATAGGCCGGATCTGGCCCTGGGCCACCAGTTCTACGGCCTCTGCCAATTCCTGGCGGCTGCAGTATCTGGAGCCGGTGAGGATAAGTTCGTTGCTCAGGGAGCGGGCGTTCAGTGGCAGGGTAGCCTGTCCGTCGTAGGAACCGACAAATACCAGGCGTCCGCCCTTGCCCAGGCTATCCAGGCTGCACTGCATGGTTTCGGCGATGCCAACCATCTCCACGACCACGTCCACGCCTCGGCCTCCGGTCAGGCGGCGGGCCTCTTCATCGAATCCGACTTCCCTGGAATTGATGGTCTCATCGGCGCCTGCCTCCCGGGCCAGGGCCAATTTTTCGGCGGTGATGTCCACGGCAAAGACTCGTGCCCCCAGTACCTTGGCCATTTGAACCATATGAATGCCCACGCCGCCGCCAGCGCCTACCACCAGCACTGTTTCTGGCGCGCGGGCGTGGGCGCGCTCTCGCAAGACGTGCACTGGAGTCGCGATGGCGTCTGCTGTCACGGCAGCATCCACGTAACCCATTTCAGGTGGAATATGGCAGAGGTTGCGCTCGGGCAGGACGACATACTCGGCCAGTCCGCCGTCGATTTGACGCCCCACGTAACCGGCATGGTTGTCGCACAGGTCTTCGCGCCCAACATTGCACCAGCGGCAGTTTCCGCAAGTCAGGTAAAAGTAGACGTTAACGCGGTCGCCAGCCTTGTAGGATGTAACGTTGGGGCCCGTCTTGACCACATCGCCGGCGATTTCGTGACCGATGATGCGAGGCACCTTGTCCGGTATAGTGCCCCGTCCAAAACCACGGCCCTTGAGGTTCCAAACCAGCGTCAGGCCGAGTCCGCAAGCGCGAACTCTTACCAATACCTCACCGTTGCCGGGCTCGGGAACGGGTACTTCCTCCAAGTGAAGGGGTCCACCCTGTTCCTTCAATATTAAGGCCTGCATGGCTTTCTCTCTTTCTTGAATGGTCGGGAAGTTTGTTGTGGTGGAACAAGAGTGAATATTTCAATACATTTTTTACGTATGATTAATAATTATATGTCTACTTGTGGCCCGATACTACAAAATAGGATACGACTCCGGAAGGATTTTGGTGCTGTTTTGGCAAGTGTTTTAAAGTGCGTATCTGTTTGACAAGCTGGCGGATGAAGATGCATGGAGATCGGCTGAATGGAAATAGACTGGAGGAGCAAGAATTGACCTAGGATTTTCTAATAAGGGTCTCTTTATCACGGGAGGGGAGCTACGGAATCGGCAGGGCTTTTGCCTTTGCTTTCGCCGGCGAGGGAGCGTCAGTGGCTATTTCAGAGCTGGATCCCCAGCGCGCCGATACGACCGTGAGCGATATTCGGGAACAAAGTGGAAAAGCGATTGCCATTTCCTGCGACGTGAGCGACCGGTCCCTGGTGGAAGCGGCGACGGCGCGCACCTTGGACGAATATGGCCAAATAGACATCCTGATAAACAACGCGGTCAGCCCCTACCTCACCGGTTCGCTGGAAGAACTGGATGATGTGGACTGGGACCGCAATTTTAACGTCAAATTGAAGGGGAGCTTTTACTGCCTCCGCGCGGTGGTCCCTCATATGAAAGAGCGCCACTACGGCAAGGTGGTCAGCATGGCCTCCATAGTGGGCAGGCGCGGCTCGGCGGAACCCAAATCGGCAGCTTACTCAGCATCCAAGGCGGGCACCATTGGCCTGACGGCTAACATGGCCCGGGAGTTGGGGCCCCTACAATATCAACGTCAACACCATTGCTCCGGGCAGCATCAACACTCCACGCTGACGGGAAGCACGCGACGATTAACAAGTGAACCGGACCGTTCAGGCCACGGCCCTGAAAAGGCTGAGCGAAGCGGAAGACAAAGTGGGTATTTGCCTTATGCTGGCTTCAGTCTAGTGCAACTTGCCTGTCCGGTTGTTGCGCTCAATGTGATAGTAGTGCCCTACTCCATCTCCAGGAATTCCTGCACCCACTCGCTGGCTGGTCCCTTGTCGTACATGCTGTAAAGAACCGTGGCATTACGAATGTGGTCCCCGCCGAAATACCTCTCGTAGAGGACCTGGCGGCTGGCAAAAGAACTGCAGCAGGTGTCCCAGGCCAGGCGGAACAGGCGCACCCGATCCTCGGCGCTGGCGGTATCCGTGTCCAGGTACTGACGGATTTCCTCGCCTAGCGGCCCGTTCAGGTCGGCCTCGGTAGGCAGCGCCATGAGGCTGCTGGAACCCAGGAAGTGAAGTATCTCGGCCATGCGGGGATACATCTGTATGAAAAGACTGCGGGCAACCAGCAGCGGCATGTAAGGGGGGCACATTACGCCCCACTGGTCAACTTTAGCGTCAACCTCCGCTGAATGCAGCAGCGCCTTCGTAACCTCCAGATTCTGGATGATTTCGGCCACCATCTGCTGCACCTGCTGCAATTGAGTCGACCCCAGGGTGCGGGTCATCAGGGTTGGCCAGGCCCAGCATGAATTCGCACTTGACCACGTTCTTGGTGACAACCTGGTGTCCCGTATGGGCGTTGCGGTTGGTTGCCTCAGCCCAAGTATTGGCCAGTTCCACGTCTCCCAGCAGGAATACCCTTTCCCAGGGCACCAGCACATTGTTGAAGAAGACGACCGCGTCCATTTCTTCGAACCGTGAACCCAGGGGGTGGTCGAAGTGTGAGCGGCCCACGTCAAAGCTTTCCCGGCAGAGGAACTTCATTCCAGGCGTGTTGCAGGGAAGGGCGAACCCAAAGGCATAGCGTTCACCTGCGTCTCCGGGGAGCCGGTGAGTGCGGGCTGGGTAGACGATAATCTCATCTGACAGTGGTCCAAGGGTTGCCAGCACTCTCGCGCCGTTCACTATTATGCCTGCGTCGGTCTCCTTGACCACCGCCAGCGCTACGTCGGTACGATCCTCCAGTGCGGTAGTCAAGGGAGAGCGACTTCTCTGGAGATTGACCAGGGTGTGGGTAAGGGTAAGGTCATTTTCGCGGATATACTCGAAGTAGTTCTCTATGTTCTGCTTGAACTCAGGGCGGTTCTGGCCGCAGAATTCGCTGGCCGCCGCCATGGACATTACTGCCACGTTAAGAAAGTCGGGGGTGCGACCCATCATCCCACAACTGACCCGGGCCCAGTGACGCATCATTATCCGCCGCCGGTCCAGGTCCTCGTGGGTCTTGGGAATGATGAAGGACAGCCCCACCTGGTCGCCCGAAGTAGAAGACTTAAAGGTCATGTCCGGCCCAATTTCCGGATGGTGCTGCAAGTCGTAGAGGGAGGCAAGGGTGCGGGCGCCGTTGGCCAGTGTAGGGTGGGAAGTAGCGTCCTTGATACGCTGGCCCTCCATGTGGATCTCTGGCTGGGCTTCTCGAAGGCGTTCTAGGTAGTTCGCTCCAGTCCTGGCTGGCATGGCAGTCCTCCTGTATATCAAGAACAACGAACTGGGAAATAAGGACAGTCTATGGCGAGTTGACAGGCTAGCTTAGAGAGCCTGCCAAGTGCCAGACATCACACACACCTTGAAACTATTAGCTCGTGGGGTGCATCAATTCCAACATCTCCGCCCGCCAGTCGGCTCCCTTGGGCAGGACGCCCTCAATGGCCCGGGCGTTGTAGTATGTGGGGGCCACGCCCGGCGGAAGGCCACCGTCGGCCACCGTCTGGGCGGCCTGGAGCAGCAGGCGGCGGGCCTGTATGATGGCCATGTCGCTGCGGGTCAGGTTTTCACGGGTACGGTCAACGATTGCGCCCATGCTCTCTTGCACTGCCACGTCCTGGGCGTTGATGCCGTTGATCCCGGTAAAGGTCTCGTACTTTTGGACTTGGCGGTCAATGAGCCAGTCGTTTTCCCGGTTGCCCTTGCCCCGGAAGTTGGGAAGCATATCGTCCGGCCCTCGGCCGTAGCCCCGCTCAATCTCGCCCCATTCCTCTTCGGTAATGGGTTCGGGGCCGAAGCTGTAAACCCAGTTGTAAATCATACAGTTAGAGTCGTCCATGGGCACCCACATGTGCCCGGCGATCACCTGCTTGGCGGCCTGACCCTTGTAGCCCGACTGCCGAGGCCGCATCTGGTGGAAGGGCATAATGTACTGGTAGGTCCGGACAAAGTCGCCCCGTTCGCCCAGGTCTCGAATGCCGACGTACTGGTAACCGTAATCGGTTACGTCCACTTCCAGGGTGGGAGCTCCCCCGGTAACAAAATCAGTGTTGATACCAATACCTGCCTTATCCGTATCGGTGGTAATGGTCCGGTGCAGGATTGGCGCGTGAGCGGTATCTATTCCCCCCTCCAGGGACTGGAGCCAGTTGCACTTTTGCCAATTCTTGGAGATGTGGCGGTGGGTTTCGGGGACCGTGGCCCACTCAAAGTTGGGCGGTGGCGGAGGCTGGCTGCCCGGTTCGCCCATGTATGCCCAAACGGCACCGCCCCTTTCCAGGGTGGGATAGGCCTTGATGCCCACCTTGGTGTGGTAGTCGCTGTCGGGCGGTTCATTCATCATGTCCAGGCAGTTGCCGTCCACGTCGAACTTCCAGCCGTGATAGACACAGCGCAAGCCGCACTCCTCGTTTCGCCCCAGGAACAGAGATGCCATCCGATGGGGGCAGAACTCGTCTAGCAGTCCAACTCGGCCCTGGGTGTCACGAAATGCCACCAGTTCCTCGCCCAGCAATCGCACTCTAATTGGCGGGCAGTCCGGTTCCGGAAGCTCCGACGAAAGCAGGGCCGGCATCCAGTAACACCGCATAACTTCGCCCATAGGCGTTCCGCGGTCGGTTCGAGTGAGGGCTTCGTTTTCAATGTGGGATAGCATGGTCTCTCTCCAGGACTATGGCCTAAGTAATTTGGGAATCTGGAAGGATTTGCGAGGCCTTACGAATCAGAAACAGGACAACCTATTGCCTCCAGTTCGTTCTCCCAGTTCTGGGACAGGAGGTTCATCTCATCTATGACCTTCATTTTTTCCCGATTGCTGGCATCGGTTTCTAACTCCAGGGACTCCGTCAACTTCTCCATCCGGGTCGAGTTTAGTTCCATTACCGCCAAGGAATTCCCTCCGCCCGAAAAAGCTTCCGTCAGCGAACAGCCCAGGTTTGCCACGGCAATGCTGGCCAGATTTGAGATGGACTCCTCGGCAGCCTGTGCAACGTCGGCATCCGAAGGGCCGCAGGCAACGCTCAACGTTAGAAGCGCAGGTAAAGTAATGAGTCCTAGTCTTGCAGAGTTAGTTTTGCACAGGTTCTCTAGGTCCACTGGGCGAAGCCCATGGCGCAGCCGGTGCCGGCCGGGGAACGGTAACAAGGAACGTAGTCCACAACCTTCATATCGAGATGTTCTACGGCGCCGGCCACTGCAATCCAGTTGCGGATTTCTGAATTACCGGAATTCAGTTTTTCCTTCGGAATAGATGACAAGGCTTCCGCGTCCCGGTTCTGCATGGCCTTCAGGACGTGATTGTCGAGGTCCTCGTCGATGACGAAATGGCTGAGGCCGCCCGAGGCGATGACCGCCACTCGGGCGTCTCCCTCCCATTCCTGGACGGCGGCGCGAACAGCTTGTCCCAATTCGTAGCAACGCTGGGGAGTTACCTGGTTCGGTGGGTAGTAGGTATTGACCATGATGGGCAAGGCTGGAATGGCCTTCTGGTGCAAAATGCGCTGGTATACATAGCCAAAAGCGTGGCCCATTCCCTGGCCTTCGGGCAATCGCCTGGAGTGGGCGACGTCGAATTTCTGGTCAACCAGGTGCTCTATTACGTGGCGGCCCAGGTCGGAAGCAATTGGGTAGTCGATTTCGCGATCAGCGAACCAGCCCCAGGCGTTGGCCTTGCGGAAAGCCGGCGCAGCCTCGGGAATTGAAATGGGAACGTTGCGGATAGTATCGCCCCAGTAAACCAGCATGGCCGGCATGTTGCCCTCGTTGAAGAGCTCCAACTGGTCGTCGCCAATCATCACGACTATGTCGGGCGCAGCGTCCTCCAGTGTTGACCCAAGGGTGGCAATGCCCTGCTGGCAAGCGTTGTAACGGGTTGCCATTTTGTCCTCGGCCAATTCTTTCTCAATCATCGACCGGTCAATGCTTGATAACAGCTCTTCAAAGGAATAGGGGTTGCCGTCCGCAGCCCACAGTTCCTGGTGGCGCTTGTCACCTTCGCCGTAGGTAAGCCACATCTCGGACGGTGTGCTCAGTTGGGGGCTGTGGGAAGAGCCCAGTCCCAGGACTATATCTGCCATGAATTACCTCCGGTAAGCTTGCTCCCCCTCGAAACTAAAAAGATTCAGGAGCAACGGTCTGGTTATCTTATTCTTGCTTTTCTCGATTGCGGTGGCTCCAGGTGGTGCCTGGTCAGATTGAAAGCACCACATCAACCAGCGCAATACGTCCCTCGTTGACGGCCTCCAAACCCTTCTTCAAGGCGGGCACCAGGTCCGCTGGGTCTTCCACCCTCACTCCGTAACCGCCAAAGGGATCCATCAGCTTGGGATAGTCCGGGCCAGGGATGTGAACGCCATGCCAAATGTCGGAGTGGGCGGCATCTCCGTTCGGGTAGTAATGCAGGTGGTTGCGGCGCATGGCCTCATAGTTGCCGTTATTGAATATGATAGTCAGGAAGGGCAGATTTGCTTCGCAGGCAACACCGAAGCTCTGGGTCACCGGATTGTAGAGGAAACCCCCGTCGCCCATCAGGGCCACAACGGGTCGGTCTGGCATTGCCAGCTTAACTCCCAGAGCCAGACCCAGCCCCTGGCCCAGGCCACCGTTGGGGTGGAAGTAACTCTGGGGCCGGTCCCATTGGACGTGGCGCATAACCTGCCCCCGATGGGACGTTACCTCTTCGGCATAGACTGCGTTGTCGGGCATAGCCTCGCTGATGGCGGCGCAGAGCCAGGCCGGATCAATGGGTTGGCGGGTTCGTGCCGCTTCCTCCACAGTTAACCGGTTGGCGTTTAGCCGATCATGCTCGGCCTTCCAGTACTCCCGCCGCTCTGCAATCTTGGCTGCGTTGGAACCAGTGGCAGCGCCGTTAGCTTCCAGCGCTTCCGTAAGCAACTGCAGCGTGATTGTCATATCACCTTCGACGTACATATCGGCCAGCAGGTTCTGATAAGCCATCTGACCCTTGAGCGGATTCTCTCCCATGGCCACTACCGTGGCGCTGGCTGGTCCAGCATTGGGTGGATACCAGGGTGATCGGCTGCCTAGCAGCAGCACCAGGTCACACTGGTTCAGGTAAGCTTCAGGGGTACCAAGGTACATGGGATGACTCTTCGGGAAGTTTGCATGTATGGAAGCACTCTCGGTAACTGGTATGGCCATCAACTCGGCCAGCTTGACCAGATTATCGAATCCCGCCACATCCTGACCGGAGCCTTCGGCAATCATCAGGGGACGGCTGCTGTTGGCAATGAGGGACGACAACCGGTCAATCGAGTCGGTGGCCGGCTGGGTCTTGGGAGCCTGGGCAACGCGGCGAATCTTGGCGGGGGGCGACCAGCCATGGATCATGGTCTCAATTGGTATGTCCAGGAAGGTGGGGCCCTTGGGAACGCGCTGGGCCATTTCTCCGGCGCGAACCAGCTGTTCGTACAGCGTGTGGGGACTGGTGGCCTGTCCGCTCCACTTTACGAAGGGTTCAACAAATCGATTGGGACCGCCGACTACGCTCAGGTTGCGGTACCACTGGCCCTGGGGGTCAAGCTCGGGGTTCTCGCCGTAGCTGATAGCTTCGCCGGAGCAGACTACCATGGGTACCTCGCCCAGGAAGGCGCTGTGGATGCCCACTCCCCCCTGGAGCAGTCCCACGCCGGCGTGGAGCAGCACCGCCTGCATCTTGCCAGTGACCCGGGTGTAGCCCAGGGCCATATCCACTGCCAGGGTCTCGTGCCAGCAGTTGATGTAGGTGGGGCCCTCGGTCTCGTTTATCTTCTGACGTGCCAGGGCCTCCCAAACGGGTGCCCATTCTGAGCCCGGGGAGGAAATAATGTAATCCACGCCCAGATTGCGGAAGGCTTCCAGGATGGCGTCCCCGCCGTCTTTGGCTTGAGTCTGGGTCATTGGGTGGCCTCCTATTGGATGACTACATAGTGGGGTTTCCCAAGTTATCGGGCCAATGGCCAAGTCTTAGGCCCGTACCAATTGAGAAGTCTCTCGAAGCTAACCAGCCTGCTGGCTGTCTATGGAAATTGGAGATTTTGCTTGAGTATAAGTAGGCGACATTGCACTGTCAACGAAGCTCCAGTTCATGGTAGAGGCAGCAACGGGTTGTATGTGGGAGAGTGCCGGGATAAACTCACGTCCAACTGAAACTGCTACGAAACTACAATTTGCCAGTTGCGAGGTGAAACCATGGTAGCTAATGGAGGATTGCGGGGCACCTACGAACCGCCGGTGCCGTCACGCGTTGTTTTTGGACAAGGCCGGGCCGAAGATTTGCAGACTGAACTGGACCGGCTGGGCAGCCAGCGGGTGATGGTGCTGTCCGGTCGGAGCATTGCGGAGAAGACCGACACGGTCAGGCGGGTGGAATCCCTGTTGGGCGACCGTTGCCTGGCCGTATATTCCAACCTGCCCCAGCGGGCGCCGTTGTCAACTGCCGTTGAGGCAACCCAAATAGCCATCGACAATGAGGTGGATACGCTGGTAGGAGTTGGCGGGAGCACCATTTCCGACGCCGCCAGGATGATTGGCATCATGATGGCTGAGGGGATCACCTCGGAGGACGCATTACGGGAACGAGGCCACCAGGGGGGCGGCAACTTCAGGTCCGATGTTGACCCTGACAAGCTGCCCTTGCAGGTGTCGATACCGACGACCCTTTCGGCGGGAGAGTTCAACCTGGGCGGGGGCAATGTCCTGGACGACCAGGCGGGGCACAAGATTCGGGTCCGACACCCCGGCCTTTACGCCCACCTGATAGTGCTGGATCCGGACATGACCGAGGGCACCCCGGACTGGTTGTGGCTGTCCAGCGGGGTCAAGGCTCTGGACCACTGCATAGAGCGCCTGTACTGCCACGGGAGCCAGCCTGCCACCGACGCCACCACGGCCAAAGCGGCGGAGTTCCTGTTTGAGAACCTGCCCCAGTCCCGCGAGGAAATGGGCAACTCCGAGGCCCGCCTGAAGTGCCTGATGGGCGCCTGGATGTCGATGATGGGCGCGCCCAGTGTTGGGTCCGGCCTTAGCCACGCCATTGGTCACGTCATCGGCGTCAAGTACAGCGTGGGTCACGGCTATACTTCCTGCGTAACCCAGCCCTACGTGATGGAGTTCAACCGTCCGGCCTCGGCTGACAAACAGGCCATGCTGGCGCGGGCTGCCGGTCTGGACACCCGGGGCATGAGCGATGAGGCAGCGGCCGAAGGGGTGGCGGCGGTGGTTGACGAGTTCATAATGGAGTTGGGGATGCCCCACCGCTTGCGAGAGCTGGAAATACCCCATGAAGACCTGCTGACAATAGCAGAAATGACCCTGGAGGATGGTCCATCACGCAACAATCCGATGGAAGTTACGAGTCCCGAGCAGTTGCTGCCTTTGCTGGAAAAGGCCTGGTAGTGTAGCGGAATGGACGAACATCCTGCTGGCAGCGTCTATTCGGGATAGGGCGCTGAATCGCGAATGCCAACGGTACTTAGGGACGGGCCCTTTCGCTTCTTCTTTTATTCGGGAGACCGGGGCGAACCCGCTCACATTCATGTTCAGCGGGACAACCAGATTGCTAAGTTCTGGCTTGATCCGGTGATGCTGGAACGCAGCGGTGGATTACGGCCTTCCGAGATCAGGCGGATTGAGCGCATAATTGAAGAGAATCAAAGTTCATTCTTGAGAGAATGGGATGTACGTTTCAACGACTGAATTGAGTGTTCCGGACGCAATGACCATCGTGGTAACCGAGGATAAGATCACGGCTGAGTTGTCAGACGGGCGGACCATCTCGGTCCCACTGTCCTGGTATCCGCGTCTGGTACATGCCACCCCGAAGGAAAGAAACAATTGGGAAATGATCGGGGGCGGGCAAGGAATTCACTGGCCTGACCTGGACGAAGACATCAGCATAGAGGGTCTACTGGCAGGTCGTAAGTCCGGGGAAAGCCAGAGGTCCCTTAAGCAATGGCTGGAAGTGAAGCAGGCAGGACAAGGCTTGACCCTGTACGAACTCGGTGGCCCCGAAGCCGAGCAGTAGAGGCAGACTGACGCTGCGCAGTTCAACCTGTGACTTTTAGTCTGCTACAATGCCCGTGCCTGTTGGCATCGGGTTAAACAACAATTTAGATTTGATTTGGAGGTAGACCAATATGCCATCTTTTATGGACAAGCTGACCGTTAATGGGGAAGAAATGGACATGTATGCCGCTATACCCAGCGGCTCGGGCCCCTTTCCTGCCGTGGTGATTGCCTTCCACGTGGGCGGCATGGACGAGTTTGACAAGGTTATGGCAGACCGCTTCGCCGAAGCTGGTTACGTGGCCGTGGTGCCCGACCTGTTCCACAAGTTCAGCGAAGAGGTCATGGCCGGTCCCCGGCTGGAACGCCTGGGGCACTTGAGCGACGCCGACATCATCGCCGACATGAACGCCGCCGTGGACTTCCTGAAAGGCAACTCAGCCATCGACAACGACCGCATTGGTGTTACCGGCTTCTGCATGGGCGGTCGGATTGCGTGGCTGATGGCCGCGGTGAACCCCATCTTCAAGGCTACCGTCCCCTTCTATGGCGGCAACATCATGGGCATTTGGGGAGAGGCCGAGAAGACACCCTTTGAACAGGCCGGTGACATCAGCTGCCCGATGCTCTTCCATTTCGGCGAGACAGACGGCAATCCGTCGCAGGACGATATGGTCAAGCTTGACGCCGAGCTGAACCGGCTGGGCAAGGAGCACACTTTCCACACCTACCCCGGCGCCGGTCACGCCTTTATGGACTGGACGGGGGAGCGGCACAACGCGGAAGGCGCGGCTATCGCCTGGCCCAGGACCGTTGAGTTCTTTGACAAGTATCTGAAGGGGTAGAAAAACAGCCACCCAACCATCTAGTCGGAAGGCTTGATCTTCCACAACCACCAAGGGACCAGAATCGGGACCATCGCCCTCTGCCGGGCCCATCCAGGCAGGGGGCGGGTTTTGGTTCGGGGACGGGGTGCCGTCCCTAGAGCACCTGCGAGAAGGGTTCGTCTGAGGGAGTTACCAGAGGTCTCCCACAGCGCGAGTCCACTCGATGGAAAACTCCCCGGCCAGGGGATGAAGCGGGGCGACGTAGAGTGCCAGGGTGTGCTTGTTCCGGAGGGCGTCGACACGGTTCCCGATTTGGGACCGGTTCCTGGGTTTGCTCCAATGGTTTTTGTTCACGACGGTGGCTCTCACCCCCCGGACCTCTCTCCCCGAGGGAGAGGGGAGATAACCCTTTTTTATTTTCCTGCCATTTCCGCTCAATTCCGCCCATTTTGTATCTGTTACCTGAGTGGCGGTGGCGGTTCCTCCGGTGGGCCAATTAGGGAGTTTTTTTGACCACAGAGGCGGGGAGTGTTCAGAGTCTTGCGGGGGCATACTCTTATGGTAGGGATGGGGCATGCGGAGTGGGAAGAGGGTTGTGTCAGTGAGGTATCCACGAAGGTCACGAAGAGGGAGTTTATCTCCGAACAGTTTGCAATTGAGGTGAGATCGCAATGGCAGTTTGGCTAGTGCGCGGCGGAAGGAATGGTGAAAGAGAGCAAGAAGCCCTCGAAAGCGGGATACTATCCATTGGGTTCGGCCAGCTCGATGACCTTACTCCAGCCCAAACCAGAGATGATATTGAAGTACTCGTCCGGAGTTCCCATACAGGCGATAGAGAGGGTCAAATAACCAGCTACACCAACCAAGTCTGGGCATTTAGAGGTCTTATTAATACTGGCGATTTGGTCGTGATGCCCAGAAAAGGAAAGCCTTTAGTTGCCATAGGAGAAATATCTGGTGGTTATCAATACCGTCCAGAGCATCCTGGACTCGTGCAGACCCGGCCCGTTCAATGGATTAACAAGGAAGTCCCCAGGAACTTGCTGGATAAAGACCTCCAGAATTCAATCAACGCACAGATGACCGTATCGCAACCCAGAGCTAACGATGCCGAGTATAGGCTTCGAATAATAGCGGTTGATGGTCTGGACCCGTCCCTACAAATTGGGAAGCTTGGTGCGGAAAACGGCTCTGAAAGTGCCCCCCTACAGGTCCTTGCCGCTGATACCTTCATGCCTCTCCCCTTTTTGGAGGACATCAAGCAACTGCTGGAAGAAAAGAAGCAGGTTATCTTCCAGGGTCCGCCTGGAACCGGGGAAACTTATATTGCCCGTGAATTGGCCCGGGCTTTGGCAGGGTCTGAAGACAGAGTCACGCTGGTTCAGTTCCACCCATCCTATGCCTACGAAGACTTTGTGCAGGGTTTCCGTCCTACCAATGTCGGTGGGCAGGCGGGGTTCGAGTTGCGGAAAGGGCCCTTATTGAGAGCTGCGGATCAGGCTTGGGAGGAACCTGAGGCCAATCACTACCTACTAATCGATGAGATTAACCGGGGCAATCTAGCCAAAGTGTTCGGGGAACTCTATTTCTTGCTGGAGTACCGAAACGAGGAGATGACCCTGCAGTATTCCGATGAACCCTTCTCGCTACCTGACAACCTGTACATCATTGGCACGATGAACACCGCAGACCGCTCTATTGCACTGGTGGATCTGGCCCTGCGTCGGCGATTCTACTTTAAGGAGTTTCACCCAGCAAAGGAACCGGTCAAGGATGTGCTCCGCAAGTGGCTAAGGGCAAAGGCTGAGGGAATGGAATGGGTGGCGGACTTGCTGGACGAGGCCAACAGGCTGTTGGGATCCAATGACCAAGCCGCTATCGGTCCCAGCTACTTTATGCGCCCAGGGTTGGACGAAGCCGGGGTCGAACGAGTTTGGGAGCACAGTGTATTGCCCTACATAGAAGAAAGACTGTTTGGCGAAAGGGAAAGCCTGGACCAGTTCGATTTGGACAGATTGAGACGGGCCGTCGCCGGTCGAGGTCAGGAATCAATGGAATCGGACCCAGTTGATGCGGATGACAGTGAGGGTTGATGCGCCAAATCAACCTGAAGGAGCATGAACGGAGCAATGTCATATCCCTGACAAGGGAGGAGCTTGACACGCTGCTCTCGCTGAGGAAAGAGGAGGAAGACGATTCGGGGCGGCTTCTCACTGTCGAGCCAAGCAGGGATTCGGCAAGTTCCTATACTCTCATACCCGGTTCCACCGTGGGCGCCATGGAAGTTGACAACCTTTCCTTCCTGATTGAACCCAAAATCGGAATCCCACAGTTGCTATCGCTGGCCTGCTACACCATGGGCCTGTTTCAGTCCCGGGAGCAGCAACCTTTCAACTTTGAGGAAGAGGACGCCTTACCTGACACATTGGCTTTAGCCTTGACTTCCGCCGCCAACCGGGCCTTTGCCCGGGGCCTGCTGCACGGATATCGCACCGAGGAGGAAACTCTATACACAGTGCGGGGCCGCATCCGATTCGACGATCAGTTACGCCGGCGTTTCAAAATTCCGCTTCCGGTGGAAGTGCGGTACGACGAATTTACTGACGACATACTGCCGAATCAGTTGGTCAAGGCGGCGGCGTACCGTCTGGGCGCGATGCACCTGCGCTCAGCAGAGGCGAAGAGACGGTTGGGACGGGTGGCCGGTATGCTGGATAACGTGTCGCTGTCCGAATTTACGGCCAACAATGTCCCGGAGATAAAGTTTGACCGGCTCAACGAACATTATCGGCATGTGGTTGGTCTTTCCCGCCTTATCCTGCGTCATAGAGCTTTTGAGGCAGGTCGGGGAGAGGTGCGCGCCAACGGCTTTCTAATTGATATGAACAAACTTTTCCAGGAGTTCGTAACGCGGGCACTGCGAGAAGCGCTGAACGTGCCCGACAGGGTGTTTGGTGAAAAGTGGATACCAAGCCTGGATCAAGGCGGCAAAGTCAGACTGAGACCTGACCTTACATGGTGGGTTGGCGGCGACTGCCGGTTTGTAGGTGACGCAAAGTACAAGCGCGCGATAAGTGACCAGGTTCCAAATGCCGACATTTACCAGTTACTGGCCTACGCTACCGCCCTGAATTTACCTGGCGGAATGCTTATCTACGCTAAAGGCGAGGCTGAAGTTGCCAACCATCGAGTGCGCTACTCAGGCAAAACTCTGGAGGTAAGGGCGTTAGACCTGTCGCTTCCAATGGACGAGATTCTGAAGCAGGTTGATGCCATTGCAGGCAGGGTGAAAGCCCTGAGACACGGGTTCTTGGAATTCGACCGTGCTGCCTGATTGAAAAAGGTTGTATCATTGGTGGACAGTCCCTCCCTTTCGTGGCTGAACTAGTCGAAACTTCCCTACTGGAGGCAAACCATGACCACCACGGAAAATAAACAATACAGCGTTGGCGGGGTGATGCTGGACCGGCCTTTCAAGATTCGCCGGTTGGGCCACTTTGGGTTCAACTCGGACAATATGGCAGAGGCAGTCCATTTTTACCGGGACCTGCTGGGGTTCTACGAGTCCGACGTTCTTGATTTCAAGCAGATACCGGGGCTGGGCGAGAAACTGGCTCACATTGAGGACGGCCGGGGTTATTTCTTTACCCACGGCAGCGACCACCATGCCTTTGTCCTTTTCCCCCGCAACGTGATGGACGCTTTCGTGGCGGCCGGCGGCGGTGGCGGCGGGAAGGGCGAGGTGACCATCAACCAGATTACCTGGCAAACCGGAGCGCTGGCCGAAGTGGTTGACGGGGCGCACTTCTTCGAAGAACAGGGCATTGGCATCCAGCGGGTGGGCCGCGACATGCCAGGCAGCAACTGGCACGTCTACCCCTACGACCCGGACGGGCACATCAACGAGCTTTACTATGGCATCGAGCAGATTGACTGGACCCGCCGCAGCAAGCCTCGTGATATGTACTACCGCATCTTCCACGAAGAGCCGACCCTGCCGCAGATGTCTGAAGAGGCCGAGGTTGAGGAAGCGGTTGCCAAGGGGATAGACATTTTCTCCGGCTTCCGCGGGGTGAACCAGCTACCGGCCAAGTACGACGTGGAAGGGGTGATGCTGCCCCGACCCTTCAAGATAACCAAGATCGGTCCGGTTAACCTGTTCGTGCAGGACATGGAAGCTTCCCTGAACTTCTACATGAACCATCTGGGCTTTGTGCTTACGGAGGAGACCGAATACAGCGGTCAGCGCCTGTACTTCCTGCGGAACGGGTCGGAGCCACAGCCTGGCCCTGTTCCCAAAGTCGCTGCGGGAGGAACTGGGCTGCAGTTCCCATACCACCAACGCCTCCTTCGGTGTTGAGGTGGGCAGCTACACCCAGCTACGGAACGCGGTGGGGTTCCTGAAGGAGAATGGTGTGGAGTTCAGGGAGATGCCACCGGAACTGCATCCTGGCATCGACTACGTGGCCTACGGGCTTGACCCGGACGGTCACATGATCCAGCTTTACTACTATATGGAGCAGATTGGCTGGAGCGGGAAGCCGCGTCCACAGGAACTGCGGCGGCAGGTACCGGCCAACTGGCCCGACACGCTGGAGCCGATGTCGGATACTTACGTGGACCAGGTTTTCCAGGGGCCGCTGGGGTAGCGGGGTTAGATTTCTAGGTCAAAAATCAGGGGCGGGTTTCAAACCCGCCCCTTTTGTTTATCACTTGAGGCTGCTTTCTGGGCAGTCTTTACATCATCCGCCGGATGATGCCTTGTGCCTGATCTTCGCTTAGGCCTAGTTTGCGGAAGGCCAGCGGGCCCCCGTCGTCCAGTACCGGCTCGCGGCGGTTCAGGACGGGTGCATCTGGGACCTGGAAGAAGACGCCGGTGTAAATGGTATCTCCCCACGCCATTGCCTTTTCGCAGGCCAGTTTCCAGTCGCTGGTGTCGTGCTCCTCGTCCTCCAGTTTGACTACCCGGTCCTTGAAGAAGTTGTGGGTGTTGTCGAGGTTGAAGGTTACGCAGGGGCTGAAAACGTCCACCAGGGCAAATCCCTTGTGCTGAATGGCTTGCTCCATCAGGCTGGTCAGGTGGCGAACGTCGCCGCTGTAGCCGCGGGCCACGAAACTGGCGCCGTTCATGATTGCGGAGGTAATGGGGTTAATCGGAGTTTCCACGCTACCGAAGGGGGTACTCTTGGTTTTCATACCGTCCCGGCTGGTGGGGGAAATCTGACCAGTGGTGAGACCGTAAATCTGGTTGTTCATCACGATGTAGGTCAGGTCGATGTTGCGGCGAGCGGTATGGGTGAAGTGGTTGCCGCCGATGCCGTAGCCATCGCCATCGCCGCCGGTTACGACGACCGTGAGTTCGTGGTTGGCCAGCTTGGCGCCGGTTGCCACAGCGAGAGAGCGGCCGTGCAGGGTGTGCATGCCGTTAGTGTTGATGTAACCCGGAAGGTTTGAAGAGCAACCAATTCCGCTGACCGTCAGGATTTGATGAGGTTGCAGGCCCAAACCTGCGACGGCTCGCTGCAGGCTGTTCAGCACGCCGAAATCGCCGCAGCCCGGGCACCAGTCAGGGTCCACGGCTCCCTTAAAATCGCGGGCCGTTAACGCAACGGCACCAACATCTCCTGGATTACTTTCGGTAGTAGTCATCGGCCTTCCCTCTATACAATGATTTCCTGGGTTGGGACGAATACCTCGGTTTTGCCGGCGAGCAGATCCTGCACACCATCAGCTATGTGGTGGGGCATGAAAGGCTCGCCATCGTACTTCCGGATATGGCCATCAACGGAAAGGCCGGTTTCGCTGCGCATATAGCGGTAAAACTGGCCGGAGTGGTTGTTTTCGACAATCAGGACTTTTTTGGCGCGGTTAACTATTTTGTGTAACCGCATCGACGTGGAAGGGAATTATCCACTTGATGGCCAACTGGTTGACTGAGACGCCGCGGTCGGCGAGCAACTGGCGGGCTTCCCTGATTACGCCCTCGGTGGAACCCCAGCCGATCAGGGTTACATCGGCATCCGCGGGACCCTCCACCTGCGGCGGGGCAATTTCCTTTACGATGTCGTGGAACTTGCGGGCCCGCTTCTCCACCATCATGCGACGCTTGAGCGGGTTGGTAAATTCGTCGCTGAGCAGCATCGAATTCTCGTCATGCTCGTCGGTTGCCACCAGGTGGACGTAGCCGGGCAGACCGGGCAAGGCGCGGGGGGAGACCCCGGTTTCGGTGTTTTCGTACCGCATGTAACCATTGGCCGGAGCAGGCTCGGTAATCAATTGGCCCCGGTCGATGGCCGGATGCATGTCGATGTCATCGGGATCAACGCTGAACCGGCCCTCTCCAATGAGCAGGTCTGTGAGGACGATGGCGGGACACTGGGCCTTGTCCACGAGGTTAAACAGTTCCGGCATGGTGTTGAAGCTGTCAAGCGCGTCCTTGGGGGCGACGATGAACCGCTCGAAGTCGCCCTGGCTGGCGCCTAACGCCTGCCACAGGTCACCCTGCTCGGTCTTGGTGGGTACACCGGTGGATGGGCCCGCGCGCTGCACGTCAATAAAGACCACCGGAATTTCCATCATTCCGGCCGCGCCCACGGCCTCGGTCATGAGGGCAAAGCCTCCGCCGGAGGTGCCGCACATGGCCCGGCAACCGGCGTGGGCCGCTCCGATGGCCATGTTGGCAACGCCAATTTCGTCCTCCACCTGCCGCACCATGATGCCCAGGTTTCGGGCGTTGGCAGCCATCCAGTGCAGTACGCCGCTAGACGGACTCATGGGATAGGCGCAGTAGAATTTGACCCCGGCCGCCGCTCCGCCCATGGCCAGGGCATCGTTGCCGGCCCACACTGCCAGGGGCTTGCCGCCGTCGGGGAGAATGTCGTAGAACGGGACAAAGTTCTCGGCAGCGTAGTCAAAGCCACCGCGGGCAACCCGGACGTTCTCGTCAATGACGTTCTGCCCCTGCCGCTGAAAACGAAGGGAAAGGCTCTCTTCCAGCACTTCGAAGTCCACACCCATCAGGGACATGATGGCGCCAACGGCGATGGTGTTCTGAACCAGGCGGTTGCGGCTCTCGCTCAGGTTTCCGACGGGCAGGGGACACATATGAACCCCGTCATTAACTTCGCCTGGCGTGATGTTATCGCCGTTGTAAATCACCCGGCTACCTGGCCCCATAAGGTTCAGATGGCGGTCCATGGTGTCCTGATTGAGACACAAAAGCAGGTCCAGTTTGTCGCCGTGACTGTAGATTTCCTGGTCGGAGGCACGGACGGTAAGAAAGATGTGGCCGCCGCGAATGATGGACTGGTAAGCATTGTAGGTATAGAGGTGAAGGCCACGCCGTACAAAAATGCGGGCCAGAATGTCACCCGGGGTCGCAATGCCCTGACCGGCCTCACCGCCGATACCCATGGCAATGTCATACTTATTTGATGCCATGTAAGACTCCTCGATCTAAGCTGCCATTACCCGTTTGTGGTCTCCCAATCGCCAATGCGGATAGTTCGGCAGGGACTGGGAAACATTCGTTACGCTGATTACAACCTCAGACCAACCAGAATATACCCATACATCAAGGGTGTGCATCCGAGTGAAATGGCCTGAGTGTTCAATGGCCTAGTATAAGGCCGCAACTAAGGTAGCGCAACTTGAGACTTGTTACGGGCAGGTAAACTCATGACTACGATGGGCCAATTGCGCGGGGTAGTATTCCCAAGGTAACTAGATTGGGAAGAACGAAGAAAGATGATTCCCTATCCACGGGAAAATTCGCTAGAATGATTATTGCGGGTTGGAGTGGGCTTCTAAGGACGTAAAGTCTGAAAACATCCCGACATACGGAGGTCGATAAATGACATCGTCTAATGCCGAACAGGAACTGGATGAAGAGAAGAGGTATGAGCCAGACGCAGATGACGACAGTGATGTGTCAGAGGATTCCTACCCTATTTACCAATATGATTTGGTATCCTCCCCCAACGATTTCAACACAAAGACGTTGGTAAGCTACATCGACTCGGGTGTTGTATCTATCCCGGGTTTTCAGAGAAACTACGTCTGGGACATCAAACGTGCCTCAAGGTTGATAGAATCCATCATAGTCGGACTTCCGGTGCCTCAGATTTTCCTATATGAGCAGGGACGAAACAGAGACATGGTAATTGACGGACAGCAACGATTGATGTCCATTTATTACTTCGCGAAGGAGAGATTCCCACGAAAGGAAAAACTGGCTGATCTTCGATTGAAGAATCAGGGACGTGGCGATATACCAGCAGACTTTCTCAAAAATGACGACTACTTTGTCGATTTCCGACTGGACCTGCCTGAAATCATTCCGGGGCAACCTAACAGATTCCACAGGCGTACCTACTCAACTTTGGATGATGAGCATCAGAATGCGTTTGACCTCAGAACCATAAGGAGTATTCGAGTCAGGCAGGTCAGTCCGTCTGGGGACGATGCAATGTACGAGATATTCAATCGCTTGAATTCTGGTGGAGTTAATCTAACGCCCCAAGAAATTCGGCGTTGCATGTTCGACTCTGGGTTCTACGATATGCTGTACCGTACCAACCTCGACGAGAAATGGCGAAAGTTGGTTGGTTCCCCTGTCTCTGACCTGCATATGAAAGACGTTGAGATACTGCTCCGCGGATTTGCTATGCTGATCAATGGAGACGACTATCGACCGTCAATGGTCAAATTCCTTAACAGCTTCTCAAAGCAGGCAAGGGGGATTTAAGGTAGGCAGACTGGAACGTCTGCAACTACTGCTAGACCAATTTCTTGGTAGCTGCAAAGAATTACCTGCTGATGCTTTTCATAGCGCCCAAGGAAGATTCAGCCCAATGATATTTGAATCCGTGTTTGTCGCAACGTGTCGCGAGGCCTATCTTGAGAATCGGAAAATCTTAGGACGGATTGACGAGGGGACCTTAAAGACGCTTAAGGACGATCCCGAGTTCAGAGCAGCTACGCAAAGCCGAACATCGCACCCGTCCAACGTTAGAATTAGGCTTTCACGTGCTTGTAGCGTTCTGTCGATGGATCAAGGGTAATGGCAGAAAACCGGCCTGCAGATCCCGTCATGGGACTTGTAAGAGAATACAAGGAACTTGCCGAACTCCTCGATTCTGATTCTAATTACTACTCACTAAGAATGGGCTTGGAGGCTTCTTTCGCGAAGACGTTAGTTGTGTCTTCAGCCAGCTATTTTGAAGCCGGTTAACTGAAAGCTTAGTGGAACTTTACTCAGATGCGACTAGTCAAGCTGAAGCACTAGTTCAATTTGTTCGAAGTTTGGCGATTGATCGAAGATACTTTCAGTGGTTTGACTGGAGTTCTAACAGCGCGAATAGTTTCTTCGGCAAGTTTGGAGGCGATTTTCGGAAGTTTATGTCCGATAAGGCGACCAATGACGAAGATGTACGGGCCTCTGTCAGAGCTTTCTTGGAACTCGAAAACCTCCGGAACAATCTGGTGCACGGAAACTATGCCGCGTTCCAATTGGATAAGTCCGTTGAAGACATTCTGTCCCTATATGGGAAAGCGAATAAGTTCGTTGAGGACTTCCCAATAGAGCTTCGCACCTACCTCAACATGGCAAGCAAGGTAGAATAGTAAAGCATTGAGAGACTGACAAAAAGTGACCACGATTAGGCGGTTCCCATTCGGCCATTGGACGGAGTTGAGTCTCGTGAGTTGGGGTGTCTTGGCAGTCCCTGTTAATAGCACGAGTCTTGCAGGGCCGGCAGTGGAGAATGTCAGGGTCGAGATGTCCTTGTGAGGCGACCGGTGGGTTGTAGTGGCCAATTAAAGGGGCGATTCTTGGGTAGGCTATCTAGGGTTGCTCTCTTCTTCTGTGGGTCAACGACGAAAGTTGGTTTTACCCATATCGCAGACCGAAAAGACTAGAGTTCAGGGCCGATGGTATCACTTGTAAGGCCGGAATGCAGGTGTAGCCAAATACGTGATTGGGGCAGCCACAAGGACTCCCCCTAAAGTGTCCGCTAACCGTCCCAACTTGACAGGGTAATGTTCCAGTATTGATAATCTTGGAGTTCCGCCTGGCTTGGCGGCGGATTGGGTATGACTGTCATTTAGTGCTTGGGTCTCCTGGAAACGGGAGACTTGGTCGTGAACTGCGATACGGAGGTAATTAGACGGTGGCTAACGAGAATATTGAACTTATGGCCCACCTGATGCGTCGGGCCGGTTTTGGCGCCACCCGCGACGAGTTGGAAGCGCGGGTGGCCAATGGCTACGAGGCGACAGTGGAAGAATTGCTAAACCCCGAGACGGTAGAAGGTTCAGACCGCCTGGACTTCCTGCGCTACCAGCCCGGGTACTGGAAACCCCCCACGTCCGCCGGCATGGGCGGCGCCGTGTGGCTGAATGACATGGTGAACACCCGACGGGTGCTCCAGGAGAAGATGGTTCTGTTCTGGCACCAGGTCTTTGCCACCGGTTACTCCAAGGTTGACCACTACCACGAGGTCTTCAAACAGATAGACATGTTCCGGGAAATAGGTATGGGCAACTACCGGGATCTGCTGGTGGCCCTGGCCAAAGACCCGTCCATGATTTACTGGCTGGACAACTGCGACAACCATGTTTACGCGGTCAATGAAAACTGGGGTCGCGAACTTCTGGAACTTTTCAGCATGGGCGTGGGCAACTACACCGAGGATGATGTTCGGGAATGTTCCCGAGCCTTCACGGGCTGGACCATTTCCATGATGATTCCCCGCAGCGCTTACGGCCGTTTCGACTGGGAGTTCGAGTACCAGGAAGAGGACCACGACCACGATGAGAAGGAGTTCCTGGGCCACGCCGGAAACTTCAACGGCGAAGACATCATTGATATCGTCTGCGCTCATCCGGCTACCGCGCGCTTTGTAGCGCGGCACCTATACAACTTTTTTGTGGCTGACGAACCCCAGGTACCGGCCTGGTCGGTAACGCCGCCCAACGATCCGGAGGCGATAGAACTACTGGCCCAGACCTTCTTGGACTCAGGCTACGAGGTAACCCCGGTGCTGCGGGTGCTTTTTAACTCCGACTTCTTCAAGAATGCCCGCTTTGCGAAGATCAAGAGTCCTGTAGAGGTTGTGGTCGGCACCCTTCGGATGGTGGGCGACTACGAGTTTCCGGCCCCAGGCATTGGCATCCTCACCAAGGAGTCCAGCTATATGGGCCAGGAACTGATGAATCCTCCCAGCGTGGAAGGCTGGCACACCGGAGCTGAGTGGATCAACAGTGGCTCGCTGATGAAGCGGATTAACTTCTCGGCGGACATGGTTTCCCAGACCGACCGGCCAGGCATTCGAAGCATGCTCAACCGCCTGCAGGCCCAGGGCGATATGACCGCCGAGCAGTTGGTTGATGGCTGCCTGGACCTGATGGGGCCGATGACGGTGCAAGCAGAAAACCGACAGGAAATGGTAAATCACGCCAACGAAGCAGGCGACCTGCGCTGGGACGCCCCCGACGCCGAGGATCGGGTGGCGGAAATGTTGCAGTTAGTGGTGTCCCTGAGGGAGTACCAGTACGCATAAAGGCTGGGCGCCGCCAGAAAACAGGCGCGCCAGGAGGACTTTAATATGGTTACCCAATTAGTGGCCGGCAGGGTGTTTGATTATAGCCGGGTGGTGGGTCGGGGCGCGGCGTCAGGCGCCGGCTTCAATAATCCGGTTGCAATGTGCCTGTCCGGAGAGGACAAGGTATACGTAGTCAACCGAGGGGCAGAATACGTCCCCGGAGCCCCGTGGAACCGGATGTCCCACGGGACCCGCATCGGCGTCTACACCATCGGCGGTGAGAACGAAGATGAAGAGTGGGTCACAGAGTTTGGGAGGTACGGCGACGGCAACGGCGAACTGATCTGGCCCGCCGGCGTAGCGCTGGATTCCAAGGACAACGTGTACGTGACCGACGAGTGGATGAATCGGGTGAGTGTCTTTGACCCGGAAGGTAAATACGTTACCCACTGGGGAACAGAGGGCAGCGGCCCCGGCCAGTTGCTGGGACCCAACGCCATTCTGATTGACGACCAGGACACGGTTCACGTGGTGGACGGCCGCAATCACCGGGTGCAGAAGTTTGCCCTCGATGGAACGTGCCTGTCCGGATTTGGCAGTTTCGGCGACGGCGACGGCCAGTTCAACAACCCCTGGGGTCTGACCATTGCCCCGGACGGTTACCTGTTTATAGCCGATACCAAGAACAACCGGGTCCAGAAGCTGACCACCGATGGTGAGTTTGTGGCCCAGTTCGGTGCCTACGGCACCGGTCGGGGGCAACTGAATCGCCCGTCCGACGTGGCGGTGGATCCCGAGGGTGACGTTTACGTCTGCGACTGGGGTAACAGCCGTGTACAGGCGTTCGCCCCTGACGGACGGTTCCTGACCAGCTTTGTGGGAGACGCGCAGGAGCTTTCCAAGTGGGCCAGGCCGGTGATCAACGCCAGTCCCCAGGGGCTGAAGCGGCGCCGGGAGGTCAAGGATATGTCGGTGGAGTGGCGACTGGCTATGCCCACCGCGGTGGTTTTCGACGCATCTCGGGACCGTTTGATGATCGCTGACACTCATCGTAACCGGATTCAGATTTACAACAAGCTGAAAACCTACGTTTCGGCCCAGAAGAACCTGTAAATCGCCCGAGTCAGACATTGATGGATTGCGGGGCCGGGGTAACCCGGCCTCATTTGTTAGACTTTCCACACTTGAACACTCTTGAACCAGGAAACGGCCTGTGAATCTGCCCAGCATCGGCCCGGAAGACGAAGAAAAATACATCCGGCTGGCCTCGGATAACCCCAGCATGCTTTGCTCAGAAGCGCCGCCGGAAATTCTCCAGGCGTCCTCTTTCGCCAGCGATGAACCTACCCCTTTCCTGTTCGACTTTTATGCAGCCGGCTACAACCAGTGGCACCTGAAGACCCACGGATTCCGTATCGACTTTGATCAGGAGCGGGTGGCCCGGGGTGTCATACTTTTGTGGTTCAGGGCATGCGACCTCTATACCAGCCTTCAATATGACCTCCCGCACGACGATTGGGACAAGGAGTTCTTCTCCGACGCGGGTTTGTACGACTAGCGGCTTTGGATCCTGTCGCAGCCTCTGAAAAAAAGGAGCATCCACCATGAAGTTCGGATTTGCGCTTTCCGGTCGGGGGCCACTGGCTGAGCCTGATGCCCTGTCCGCAATTGCCCGCCGGGGCGAAGAACTGGGGTTTGACTGGCTGCTGACCGGCGATCATATCGTCGTCCCCAACAGCATTGACTCCACCTACCCCTATACCGAAGGCGGGGAGTTCCCGGGGTCGACATCCGGCGTGGCCATGGAACAGTTGACCGTCCTGTCCTTCCTGGCCGGGCAAACGCAGCGCATAAAGCTGGTTACCAGTGTAATGATTGTCCCGCACCGCAATCCCATGGTGGCGGCCAAGGCATTGGCCACCCTGGACGTGCTCTCGAAGGGCCGGCTAGTGGTGGGCATTGGAGCGGGCTGGATGCGCGAGGAATTTGAAGCCCTGGGCCTTCCGCCCTTCGAGGAGCGGGGCGCAGTAACCGACGAGTACATCAGGGCTTTCAAGGAACTTTGGACGAGCGAAAATCCTACTTTTGACGGCCAATACCTGAGCTTTTCCGACATAACGTTTTTGCCGAAGCCGGTGCAGCAGCCCCACCTGCCCATCTGGGTTGGGGGTGAAAGCAGAGCAGCCATCCGTCGCGCTGGTCAGCAGGGCGATGCCTGGTACCCCATTGGTTCAAATCCCCAGTTTCCCATGGAAGAGCCCGAGCAACTGGCCGTCGGTATGCGCCGACTGGCCGCCCAAGCCGAGCGGGCCGGTCGCGCTCCGTCCGACGTGGAGGTAATCTTCCGGACCCACGATTACCGGTTGGAACAGGAGGGCATTTCCGGTGAACGCAACTACTTCTCCGGAAGCGTGGAACAGGTAGCCGGGGATATTCACACGTACGAGGAACTGTAGACCAACTGTTTGAATTGCTTGAGGGATGGTCGAGAGCACCATCGGCAAGTATCACCGGGTGCTCAGGATGCTGTCCACTCTCATTCAAGATTTGTACTATAGGCGTGTCCGGATGGTGTAGCCCTGTCGTATCAGCCGCGACGTTGACGATGTGCTGAAGCACCTGGAAGACCTGGCGACGCAGGTTATGCCGGCAGTTTAGGGTGGAAAGAGTCTGCGTCTGGTTGGCAGCGTTCAGGTTCGGGTTATTTAGTAAGGAAGGCAGGTCCGCCACAAGGACGGCCCCTACAAGGTTCTTTTACCAGTCCGCCTGATTTATAGCATTGGCAGTTTCATTTTCCCTTGACTCAGGTACCGAGCTTCAGCGAACGTCTCACAATATGCTTGTCATTCGACAGCCCACATTGGACGATGCCTTCGAGATCGCGCGGGTTCACGCGGAGAGCTGGCAGACCGCCTATAGGGGTATAGTTCCGGACGAGTTCCTGGACTCTATCGAGGTTGACGTTTGGGCAGAACGTCACCGTCGCAACATGGCAGAAGACCCCGCTGGGTTGGTGTCGTACGTCGCAGTGATCGAAAGCGAAATTGTGGGATGGGCCCTGGGAGGCCCGAACCGCGAGGAATACCTGGACCATGCCGGAGAACTGTTCACTATCTATCTGCTGCCTGGCCATCTGCGGCGGGGGATAGGACGGAAGCTGATAGCTGTGGTTGCCGAGTCCCTGCTTGGTTTGGGCTTCGAATCGATGCTCGTGTGGGTCCTGGCAGAAAATTGGCCGGCGCGTAAATTTTACGAGGCTCAGGGTGGAATCTATCTGGGTGAGCAAGCAATTACCATAGGCGGCGCCTCATTGAAGGAGGTTTCCTATGGCTGGAAAGACGTGAGGGCGCTATTGACGGAGGGACGTTAAGCTGCTTTCGCCAATTGGAAATAATCTCTAAACTGGCGGCGAAGTTCTCAGTTGCCCGCAAGGGCTATATTTGGCAACCTGTCACCCCCATCCTACATCACTATTGAGACAGTTTCCTTGCTCCGGCAGCGTTCCGTTTCAGGTGGAATTAGTGAAGGGACAGGGAATCCACTAGGGCTTCTCCTAAATTATCTCCATTTCAACTGGGTTGCAGGGCCAGGCATTTCCTCCATTAATCCCTCGTCGAAAACCCCCTATGGCATTTCCCTCTTCCAGCCATTATCATACGGCCATACTCACAGGCGTATCTCATTTCCTGAACAGGAGGGAAGAGCATGGCCGGAAACTACAACATCACAATTGGTACCGTGGGCGGCGGTCTGTCCTGCAGTCCCGACGGGGGCGAAAGCTGGAACCGCATTCGCAACCCAATACCCTCGGAGTGCAACGTCCGCGCGCTGACCGTCTATCCCAATGAACCGCACCGACTGATCGCCGGCACCGATGTGGGCATCTATCGCAGCGATGACAACGGGGCGACGTGGCAAGACCTGGAAGCTCCCGTTGGCGACCTGCAGGTCTGGTCGGTTACTGTGGATCCTGAGGACTCGAATGTCATTTTTGCCGGGACCAGGCCCGACGCCTTCCGGTCTCGGGACGGCGGCAAGACCTGGGATCAGCTGGCCCTGGGCGTGACCCTGCCCTGTCCGGTGGGGATTCCCCGCACCACCAACATGATTGTTGACCCGCGGGACCACCGCACGGTTTGGGCGGGCATTGAGGTGGACGGCATCTACAAGAGCCTGGATGGCGGCGACAACTGGATCCACCTGCCCGATCTGGGTCCTGATCCCTTTCACGGCGACATCCACGGCATGACCCTGCGGATGAGCAGGGAAGGCACGTCGGTTCACGCCACTACGCCCTTTGGAATTTCCACCAGCACCGACGAGGGCGAGAGCTGGGAACTGCACGAGTTCCCCAAGTTCCATGAGGCGGACATGCGGTCCTATTGCCGGGGCATGGCGATCAAGCCGGACAACCCCCAGATAATGTTTGTGGGTAACGGCGACTCCATACCTGGCGTTACCGGGGTCATCCAGCGCACCACCGACGGCGGCGCCACCTGGCAGCCGGCCGACCTGCCGGTGGAACCCAACTCCGTTGTCTATTGGTTCGGCGTCCACCCGGACGTGCAGGACGTGGTGGTAGGCGCCAGCCTCTACGGCTATGTGTACGTCAGCGAGGACGGCGGGAACTCCTGGCAGAAGCTGCAGAAGGAGTTCGGGGAGATTCGGTCGGTGGCGTTGACGCCGAATTAATTGGGTACGACTATTGTCGCTCGGTTCAGTTTTTTAGGACGTTTAGGGGGCCGGCTTTAACCGGCCCCCGCTTGTCAGATTGCTTTAGGGAATACCTAGGTAAGTCATCGACATTTCAGTGAATGCCGAAATCCCTGAGAGTAGTTTGGGAGAGTCAGATCACAAATGAGCATCGGCACTCAGAAATGAGCGTCGGCACTCACATCCTAACCTCCCCCCGTCGAGGGGGGACGGGACTTGTTCAGAGTTTGCTTAGAGGGTCATACCATAGATCAGCTCCAGAAGCATCGGGAAATCCCACACTCTTCCTATAAGGAGGTTCCAACATGGCATTCAAGCTTAACCATGTACACCTGAAGAGCCCCGACCCCAAGGAGACCGCCGACTTTTACGTTAACAGCCTTGGCGCTACCGTGGTGGCGGAGACGGCTAACGGTGGGTTCAGGCTGGACCTGCACGGCCTGCCGCTGAACGTGACTGGCAAGATTGACAGCCAGACCCACGACCAGGTCTATGGCATCGAGCACATCGCCATAGATACAGACGACATCGATGGCACCGTGGCAGCACTGAAGGCAAGCGGCGCGAAAATTACGGAAGAGACCCAGGTAGGCAGCGGCCGACGGGTCTGCTTCTTTGAGGGGCCGGACGGGGTCTGCCTGGAAGTTTTGGAGATGCAGGGGTAAACACTCGGGCCCGGCTGACAACAGCCGGGCCTAGCTTTTATTTCGTAGTTGCCTGCCTGGATACTGTCGAGAAACCTGGGGTGAAGTTTGCGGTTGGGGGTGGCGGCACTAGTCACCCCCATCCTATCCCTCCCCCATCGAGGGGAAGGGATTTTTGAGATTGTTTCCTGCTAGGGCCAGATGCGGGAGCCCAGGCTAGGTGAGTGGGGGGCGTGGACCAGATTGGCGACCACCTGCCATGACCATTCCTCGTCGGTGTCGACGAAGTTGTTTTCCACGTCCTCGAGGGTGAGGAACTCGTACAGGATGGCGTGCTTGGCCCAGCCCACAATTGATACCAGCTTGCGGGCGCCGATGCACCCGGGCATGGGCCGCATCAGGGGTAGGCGGGAACGGGAGTACCAAGCACCCATTTCATCCTCGTTTCCCAGGGTGTTGATGTTGAAGCTGCCAAACTGCAAGATGGGGCCGGGGGTCAACCCCGGCTGGCGAGCCTTGTACTCGGGACCGTTAACCCGCTCCTCTTCCACGAAAATACAGTAGCGGGCGTTTTGCTGGCGGCCGATCATTTCTTGCGTACGGTCATCTGCCACGGCCAGCATTTCCGGGACACTGGGGTCCACGAAGGTATGGGGCGATTCGGCGCCGAAGATTAGCAGGTACTGGTTGCCGTCGGGGACGCCGGGGTTGTCTACTCCCGGGTCATCGATGTGTACCAGTCGACCGTGAATCGACGCCTCGCGCTCGGGCGTCATGATGTTTTCCTGGTGGCAGGCCCACAGGTATCCTGGCCGCTTCAGCATTGCCGGGATGTGCTCCTCGTGAAGCCATGCCAGGTATTCCTCTTTTCCTTCCTCGGGCAAGTCGTACCAGATTGCCCAGATTCCTCGATCCATAGAACAGACTCTCCTTTTGAAACTACGTTAAAACCGGCGGTGAAGTTCGCAGTGATGCCCGCAGTGGTGATTTTCCGCTATATGACCCCCAACCTAATCTTCCCCGGGTAAGGGGGGAAGGCACTCTGGGGACAGTTTCCTAGGGTTTTGTCTCCTTGTATCCTCGTCGATTGTCTTAAAGGCTATTCACTGGGTTCTCCCTCCCTGCCGCAAGAGGCATGGAGACCAAAGTGCAATCGTCAACCAAGGGCAAGGCGATGTCAGCTGCCAATCATCTCGCCGGGAGGAGGAATTTGCGACTACCACGGGCTTGAACCGGCCTACACGCGATGCGTCCCACCCCAGTCCACAACTGGCAGAGCAAAGCGAAAGGAACCAGATAGCGTTTATCGCCAAAATTACCACCCACGGCCAGCCGCGCGGAGCAGAGTTGTTCGAGTCCCCACTGTTCCAAATATACGCACAGGAGGTTGTTACACCGGCACCACTGCATTATACGTATGCCCGAGACCGGCAATCACGGATCGCGACACAAACTCGCGTCCAGAGCAGCATGTGAGCGAGGCTCCGCGCCGTATTGACAACGGTCATCAGAACGAGAACAGAACAGATCCACAGCGTTCCCAGATAAGCTCCGTGCGCTATAGGTGCGGTGAACAGCAGCCTTGAGATCGCGCGTTGTCTGAACCACTCCTCTGCAAGGAAGTCAGTGCTTCTAATGGAGGAAAGGGCAAAAGCCTGGAAACTGACGAGCCTGAACCCGCCCAATTTTGGTCGCACTACCGAGGCACGCTTTTGTGTAGAGCCATCTGTAGTCTCCTCACTCAGTTTGTTCGGGCGCCCAATTATAGTGCACCGTTCGTCCATGTTACCACTCTACCGTGGCACAGGATGATACTTGTCCTTGACAAGTGTAGCCCTTCCTACAATCCTGTACGTCACGAACACCCCATTGCATTTGAGCATAAAGGCAGCTGCTGACGGTCTTTTCATCAATCAACGCCTCAGCGCAACCCGAGCAAGCACTGAGGCCGACGCAATGTCTCAATAGATGTTCTCCCTCTCACTCTTGATTCAGCCGTATCGTCAAGCCTAATTGGCCACTATTGGACAAAGCAGCTCCGACGGCCACATCTTCACCTGAGGCCCGTATAGAACCACAAGGAGAACTTCCTGTCTGGACGCGACATAATCGACAACAGATCTGGAAGTGGATTCCCGGGCAGTGCACCAGCATAATCATATGTCACCCCTCGGCATAGATAATAAAAGACGAGCAAAAGCAAAAAGAGAGAACAATGAGGCTGACGGATGAAAATGCTACGACCATGACGGCAGCCTGCTGGTGAGCGCCGCTGTGGATGCAGTCTGCACCGTGTGGCGTGATGGAAGCACGACGGATTCCACCACGGTGCTAGAGCCTCGCAACGTGGACGGCAAGAGAAACCAATGTGTCCAGCATACCCCAACGACATCATCAGACGTCCGACGAGCATAGTACTATGTCGACACGCGACCGTCGCACGGCATCCGCACTGTGGCATGGAGTCTGAGGACGTTCAGACGTAGGATGGAGCTACTAGGCGGTGGTAAGCTGACATTGAGCGAGCGGCAGCCTGACCCTGGCTGGCCGATTGACTACAATAAACTGCAATGGTCTTTGCTTTTCGCCAGACGAGTCCCTTTTGTATATAACGATACCGCTCGCCGTCCACATCCGTAGTGGTACGACGTGCTGGAAGACGGTACGGATTGGAATGATGCGGCTGTTTGCCGAACTGGTCCCGACGACCCCGGCGCGCCCCGACGGCCTGTAAAGTGACTGGATGGAGGCAACTGTAGTACTGCATCGGCCCCGTCGGAGTGTGGGTGGCCGAGCCCGCGGGGTCAACTGGGGCGCTGCCGCTTGCCTGACTCCGGAACGCTGCGCGCAACTTCGGCTTCGGCGTAGCCCGTACTACCCAAAACCGTAGCACCATCTACTTCATTCACCGCCCGAAGCGCTATCTACGCAACTACGGGATGGAGATACGGGGCTGCCCACTTATTGTTATCCCATACCCGGATCAGCGATGTAGCCTATATTCCGGACCGCTCGTCCTGAGCCCGCCAAAGAATGCTCGCAGGAATCCAATGGCTCGACAGGCTCACCATGAGCGGGTTACTTAGATCAAAGCGGCGCCCGGACAGGAGACGCCAATTACCTGGGAATTGAACTGGTGCCGGACCCAACGGCAATCAGCGCCGATGGGTCGCGTCTGGCGGGTGGGAGACCTTGCTGTTCACGGCGGTGGTCGGTCCCTCCAACACGCATCCACAAGCAGATACTGCTGCTACGACCCGCGGTCCGCGAAGTCACCGCACGATCGGGTTGGACCCAACCGAGTGTGTTGCCTGGCCTTCCGCCGATGCACCTGTACTGGCTGCCAGAGTGGTGGCCCTTGCGGATAGATTGCGACTATAGAGCGAGACGGTCGGCATCGTCATGGCCTACGAAGTCGGGAAACGGGAGTACCACGGGCCCACAATCAGCCCAGGACCGGATGGCAATAGACAGGCCGGATCGAATCTGGTTTGTGGCAGCACTGTGGGCGGTGGTGGGAGAGGCTGCTGTGATTATGCGTGTGGCTCCCTATTCCCTCGACATACCGCGCCGTGCTCCGTGATCGAGTCGCCCACAAGATGCGCCCCTTACCCGGATGACCCAGCGACACGACCACGCCCCTGGACGTAGCGCTGTCGCGGAAGAGGACATACTCTAACGTAGCGGAAAGCATGATGACTTGGAGGGAAGCGGGAACTGCGGGCATATCCTATCAGGCTTGGGACGGTTCCTGGGTGAGTACAAGGTTCTGCACCAGTTTTGGGCCGGACTATCGGGGCGTTCACTGGTGGCATTATCGGTGTGCCTGAACTGACGGCACAGTCATTGCTGTGTTGCCGGGTCCGAGGTTATCTGTCCTTGGGCCTATGATATATGTGCTTCTCCCCCACCGGACAGTTCTGGTAACGCCGCCCGTGTTCCATCAATCCTACCAACGTGCGCCTTTGGCGGGGCCGTCCTTACGCGGACCTTTCGCGTGACCACCGCCGAGTGCGCCCACCTTTTTATCGGGTAACGGGCACGGGACCGGCCAAGGCTGGGTGCTGTACCCCCAGGTTGGGTAGCTGGTCTCGAAGAGTACTCAGAATCGTTAATTTCATTTGCGGGCCCGCTGGGATGTATCTCTTCCGGGATGCAGAGGCGTTTGTCGCAGCAAAACTAACAACGTCATTAGAGAATGATTTCCTGTATCCGCCCTTGGCCGGAATGACGTTGACAGCGGAAGGCGCGCCCGCTGACTTGGTGGAGTTAAAGGGGGCTTTAGAATTAACGGAGGTTAACCCCATGAGTGCCCATGTAACCGAGGCTTCACTTCTCCCGCAATCCCGCACTCCCGATTTTCGGCCGTTGGTTCCTGAGACGGTTTGCCATTGCTTTTCGAAGTGGTGGCAACCGGACTTACCTGACGAGGGGCCGTCTGGAACCATCGGTAGGTTACCGGGGTGGCCTGGGTTGAAATAATTGGAGACGCCATGGGCGTGAGTTGGTGCCGGGGCTAGGGGCAAGATATCGTCAGCTCGTCTCCCTCGGGCCCACGCCAATGGCATGACCTTCGAGTAGTGGGGGCCGTTTGGGTCATCGACCTTGGTCTGGAGACGGGGCCGCACGGTGGGCTTTCGCATTGAGCGGGACGGAACGTGCCCACTCCCAGGGGGTTGGCTCTCACATTCAACGGGCGGTCAAGTTGACACTGCCGAACGACATCGTGATATCAAGTCCGACGGCAACATTTCCTTCAGCTTCAGAAAAAAAGGAAAGGGGAGGGATCCAGTCCAATAGGATTGCCACCTGGTTGGGCACCAGGCGAGTACCTTCAAATACCTTGACTATACGAGGGCGGTGTATAGGTTGGACGCCGCTACTCTGGCGACGTGCCCCTGCTCAAGTGACGACATGGTATTATCGAACGCGCCTGTGCTTTTCTTCACCGGAGCAGACTACGCTGATGTACGTCAACGCCTACTCGATACTCGCCACTACAGGCGGATCCGAGGTGTTTG